CCCGCACACAAACCCAGCCCTCGCCGCGCGGCTCTGCCGTCCTTCTGTTGAATACGCTCTTCGGCGGAGGGTGCAGGGCTCCGGATTTGGGCCGGCTGTGTTTTTAACTTGTCTGGGCTTTTTCTGTGGCATTGCGGTGACCGCGTCCCTTGCTTCCACACGTCCAGAAGGGACTCTCCCAGAGGTTTAAAGGGGGGTCTGAGCTGGGCGATACCCGGGAGCCCGCGTACGTGAGCCCGCAGTCAAACCGTAGCGACGGCAGAGCGCGGAGTTGGTGTTGAGCGAGTGCGGAGTGTGTCTTACAGGACGAAAAGCTTCTGGAGGCGGAGGTGGTGATGGCTGCACATTGTGGATGAATGTATTTCATACCACTGAACTGTCTGCTTAGAACTGGTTAAGATGATCCATTTTATGTGTATTTTGCCACAATTTTAAGATTGGGAGTGGGGTGGGGGGAAGAAAGAAAAACCAGGCATCATTTGGATCAGCTTAGTGAGCTCTGTACTCCTGAGTTCCTGGGCTCAAAGCTGCTTTCTGGTTCTAAATGTGAATTATTCACGTAGATTTGATTTCTGGTAAAACAGACTGCATAGGTCCACCTGTAGTTAAAGGAACAGCTGACCAGGAACAGTGGTGTTGGGAATCACATTTTGTGTGTGAACTCTTGCTTTACAGTAATCCCAGATTTCCTTAAGAGATTATAAACATGAGGGAGCATGTATTTTAGACTAAAAAGTAAGCAGAATGTAAAGCATCAGTGCCTGCCGAATTGCTAGATAAGGGGAACTTAGGGGGAACAATGTGGTGGGAAAGGGAGTAGGGAATTGTTTTTTTCCTCACAATATTTAACAGGCTCTAAGAGACCATTATTTTACATACCACTAAGAAAGAAAAAAATAAATGTTTCCAGCTAAAGTAAGACATACCAATGATTGTAAAATCCTCAGTTCAGAGATTTTAAAATGTGGGGAAAACAATTTCGTGGAATTGATGAAATATTGGGGTAGCCTGAGTATGGCCATTGGTGGAGATAATGAGGGGGACATAAGCCACACTCTGCAGCCATCTCTTGATGCCACTGCTTTAAAGGATGCAGTTTTAAACCATCCAGTCAAGTCTCCTTTGTACATCAAGTTTCCATCCACTCCCAGAACGACATTATAACATTTAGATGCAGATGAGAGGGAATGGGGAAGGAGGTCGGGGTGGAGATAGGAAACATCTATGGAAATACCACTTGCTTTAAAAACCATTGAGAACTGACTCTAAAAGCAAACATACTTTTTCTAATTCTGTTATTCTGTAGATAGCCTTCATAAAGCATGCTCTCTACACAAGTCTCTATTAGACCAGAAATTAAGGCACCCTACGTCCACGTAGATCTTATTTAAAAACAAAAAACCGTGGGATAAACATTGTAGTGCTGTTTTGGATCACTTTTTTACCTGAAATCCAGTCTAAATCTAATTTCAGCATTTAGTGTTCAAGCAGAAATGTAAAAGATTATTGTTTGAAGACATTTACTAGTGTTTTCTGTGCATGAGAAACCTCTTTGTAGGCTGTTTGGGAAATAGAATTAACTTTCTGTGAGCAGTTTGGCTGTATTGTTGCTAGTTTATTACTATTTACGTTGAAGTTTGTATCCTAAAAGCCACCGTTCTGAGCACTCTGAACTTTCTTTTTCTTTCTTCATACCAGCCTGACCTTGTTGTCCCTCAATCATTTGTCATAAAAGTTTCTAAGGCTGGTATGTTGGTGGAATGTTGCTGTCTAAAGCTTTTGTCTAGTTCAAAAGGTTTTAACAAGTTTTAAAATAAATGCTCATTTGTGATTGGAACTGGTTTAACAACTTCTATAATCTTAGCTTTTTCATTTAATCATGGTACTTATATTTAAAAGTATAAGAGGGGAACCTTGCCTAGAGCTTTTAATCTAATGATCCAATTGGGAAAACAAGATAGATTAATGAGACCTTGGATGCTTACATGCTGGGCGGCACAGTCAATACTGGAGGCACCATGAGGAACCAAGATTCCAAACAGCAAACTGAATTCTGGTGCAGTCTGCAGTGGACCTGAACTCAAGAAGCAAAGTGAATTTTGAAAATTGGCCCTGTGATCTCTGGCACCTCCCCCAAATCCTGATATATAGAATTTATTTGATTGATTGACCAGGAGTTGGAGGATGGAGAAGGAATATGCAATTAGCATCACATAACTAATGGCTGGTTTTAAAATATAAACTGATTGGTATAGTTTGTCCTAGATCTATTAAATGCTTTATGAAGTTTTATTCTGGTTTACAATCCCACAAGTATTTTTGTGGCCTACCACAGGCAAGCACACTGCCAGGGACCGGGAAAACAAGGCCCTGATAGCATAGGTTTATTGATTTATCCTTTGTTTCACAGGAGGTAGATAATCATATCCTAGTGTTGGGCCTCGATGGAGCAGGAAAGACCAGTCTTCTCCACTCTCTAGCTTTAAACAGAGTCCAGCACAGCGAGGCACCCACCCAAGGTTTCCATGCAGTGTGCGTCAACACTGAAGACAGCCAGATGGAGTTCCTGGAGAGTAAGCCCTCTTTCTCATTAGTTACAGGACAGCATCCTTTTGTTATACCTTAAGCTGGACATAATATTATCAACACTGGGTCCTTGTGAAAAGTACCACTGGGTCAGCTTTTCCTAGGTACTTAGAAAGCATGTGTAGCTTAATACTAGGTGCACTGCGGGGGAAATCACTTCCTGCGCTTTTGATTTTCCCCTTTTTCCAGTGGTGGTGATAAAGGGGGGCTGAGAGGAAGGCTTTATACCCGTCCTGTAACAGCCTACCTCCTCCCTCACTACCCCAAATAAACATGCACTCGAAGTAAATGTAGTGTGCTTCCTTCTCTGGGAATGCAACTACAGACAAACCCCAGACCTCTTGTAGGGCAGCCCAGAAGCCCCCACCCTATGGTAATTCTGCAGTCACCACTGCCCTAAATACTGCTCTTCCCAGAATTTCATCAGATCCTCTTATCTTCTCTTTACACTCTTTTCCTGATGATTTCATCCATCTTCTTGGCATTAAGTACCATCTATATGCTAATGGCTCCCAGATTTATCTGTCCATCCCAAACATATTCAAGGGTCTCCTGACATCTCCACCTCGCTGTCTAATTGGCCTCTCAAACCTAACGTGGACAAAACAAAATGCCTGAGTTATCTTCATAGCTGTTCCTTTCCTTATAATCCACTGGTCAGTACCCATCAAGTTGCTAAAGACAGAAAACCAGAAGTCTCCCCTATTTCCTCCTTCTGTACCCCCACCCCCAGTAAAACACTATGACTTTTTCTACCTCTACAACAAATCTCGAATTCATCAGTTACAGCCTTTCCTGCTACCCTTATTTGAGTTGGAAACTCTATTGTCTCCTACTTAGATTACTGCAATCACCTTTTGAATTTTGCTTTTGCCCAGTTACAAAGAGAAAATAGTGAGCAGAGAAATTGGTAACCCGCTAAGCAAATCTTTAAGAAAAAAGCATTATATTAGGAATAGAAGTTTCAATTTGCCCAGAAGCTATAGAAGAAATTATTATTTTGACCAAATAGGTAGCTAGAAAATTAGTTTCAAAATATAAAAAAAAAGGAAAAGGAGGAAGGAAGGGAGGGAGGGAATGGAGGGAGGGAGAGAAGGAAGGGAGGAGGGAGGGAAGGAAGGATCCAACTAGGGGGAGAAATGGACAAATCTACGAGTGGTGTGAGGGATTTCAACATATTTGCCAATTTTTAATAAGATTAAGGAGAGAAAAATCTGCAGATACACACAAAATTTAAACATAATCAACTTCTATCTATTCGACAATATAAAATTGTCTAGTTAGACAATTTTAGCTACATCCAAAAGCTAAAATACGCATTCTTCTCAAACACTCATGGAACATTTACCAAAACTGACCACTTACTGGACCATGCAGCAAGTCTTAACACATTTTTTCAACGAAAAGGCATCACACAAAGTATGTTCTCTGACTACATTGTAGTTAAGTTAGAAGTTAATAACTGAAAGATAATCCCTATATAGGTAAAATGTCACCAAAAAAAGAAAAAAAGAGAGAAACCAAATGTTCATTCTTGTTTAAACTAAATATATTTAAACCATATGAACTAGTTAGAAGATTATACAGCCTTTTAAAAATTCAAAATATTTCAAAGAATGACTAGCTGACTCAATACAAAGAAAAACAAAGGGTAAGTAAATAAAGACCCTTTCCCATAGTATGGAAAATGCTTTTATGAAGTTCCTAAAAGAGCGGTCTGCAAACTTTTTTCATAAAAGACTCGGATAGTAAATAGTTTAGGCTTTGTGGGCCACATGGTCTGTTGCAAAGACTCCACTCCGTGGTTCTGGTGGGAGAGTAGTCACAGATGATATGGATACAAATCCACATGCCTGTCCTGAAAAAGCTGTATCTGTGCACATGAATCCAGATGTGATATAATGTCTACATGCCATGAAATATTCTTTCTTTTTCTTTCAAACATTTAAAAATGTAAAATCCATTCTTTCTTCATGGTTCTGTACAAAAATAGACAGTGGGCCAAGACTGTGGGACATAGTTTGCCAACTCCCATCCTAAGAGAAAAAGAAAAACTAAATTCATTGTGTATATAATATTGTCATTAACCAGAAAGTTTCTACTGAGAATTAACAGAATGAAATAATACAAAGGCACTTTTTTCCTGAGGCAAGTATTAGTGAATGCCCACTGGAACATATTAACTCTCAAAATTAAGAGGAGAAATTAGTTCTGGGATTTTGACAAAGGAATAAAAAAAATTGTGCAAGTGAGGCTACCCGATGCATTCAGTCCATTTAAAGATTACTCTAGAGAAATATGTGCTTTAATCTGCCATCCTGAATTATTTTAGGAGATTATTCCCATTTTTGAGCTGTCGTTGATGGACCCGCAGGGGCCACCACGGCCGCTATGTCTAACAGAGCAGGAGGCGTTCACTGTAGTACCTAGTATTTTATGCTGACCCTTCCTGTTCCAGGCTGGATAAGTCACTTGTGGAGGGTGAGACATCCACCAGTTCCTCCCCCAGTATCACCTCTCTGGCCATTCTCAGCTGGGTCACTCTAACACAGTGGTATTAGGACACCTGTCTAGGGTTCGGACGTTATGCAAGCGTGCCTTTCCTGCCCCCCTCGGCGGATGCAGCTATGACTTTTTGTATGTCTTCTTTCCCTACTCTTCTTTGCAGTTGGTGGCAGTGAACCTTTCCGTTCCTATTGGGAAATGTACGTTTCCAGGGGAATACTGCTGATCTTTGTGGTGGATTCAGCAGATCACAACAGATTACCTGAAGCCAAGAAATGCCTTCATCAATTAATTGAAACAAACCCAATCATCCCTCTGGTTGTGTTTGCAAACAAACAGGTAAACATCTGTGCACATATAATTTATACTCAATAGTTTTATTATTAACTCAAGAAATAGAAATGTCTACTTTTAACAAGTAGATATTAAACAATATTCTGTACAATCAGTTCAATTTATACTTATTCAATCTACTGGATTATAAACACCTTGAGAGTAGAGACTTCTGTTCACCTTTGCGTCCCTTATAATACCTTGTATACTGCCTTAGCATAGTAGGAATCTAACAAATATGTGTTAAACTTAATTCAATAAACATTTACTTTTGTTTTCAACAAAGTATTTGCGTCTGCCACGTATAAAGAAATTGTTTTAGATCAGTTTGACAGACCTGAATTTATTTCATACACATGTATTAAAAGTATTAAACATCCATGGAGAAATGGAACCCTGTGTATTGTTGGTGGGAATGTAAAATGGTCTGGCCGCTATGGAAAACAGTATGGCAGTTGCTTAAAAAAATTAAAAATATAATTCTCATATGATCCAGCAGTTGAAAAAAATTGAAAACAGGGACTCAAACATATTTGCACACCATGCTCATAGCAGAATTATCCCTGATGGACTTTTATCATTACGAGGAGTCCCTCTTCCCAGCCGACACCCTCCTCTTACGTATTTCCTCTCCAATGCCATCAGTGAATTAGTAACCTGAGTCATCGTCCACATGCTACTGGACCCATTAACACTGTCACAAAAGCCACTGCAGGCTCTAGGACTGAATGAATTCAGGAGTCAGACAGGCAGTATATTGGGACGACCGACATCCAGAGAGGTAATCAACTCCAGCCACATGCCAAGTACAAATCAGGAAAAGCCTCATAGGCTCCCAGTCATGGAATCTGATAGGTTCACATTGGTACAAGAAAAAAATAACACAATATTGGATTATTTCCAGAGATTTTAAAAAGATCCCCTAAAGCTTAAGGAGAACACTATCAAACTACTAAAAGCCAATTACAAATGCAGTTTAGGAGTGAAAATGCTTAAACTTTAGGACTTAAAAACTGTAGCTGAAATCTGTGTGCGTATTTAGGAAAGGGAATATCAGAGGTCATTTGCATAAGTACTTGTTGTGTGAGAGGCAAAGAAATTTTGACCTCAAGAAGGTTTCGACCTTGCCATGCAGGTTTCTGTCTCATTGTCATCTCCCCGCCTCTCCCTGTGGGTTTCCCTCTCTCTCCATCTTTCTCTCCACCTGGCCTCCCCTCTCAGCTTCCTTCTCCCACCACTTCGTTTTCTAAGTCCACTCCCTCCCTGCTCTTTTCTCTGTCTCCCTTCATCCCCGCAAAATTTGATCCAAATTTTTTTGGTTCAGTAGAAATAATGGTCACCAAAGAAAACTCACAATGGCAAATGCTGTAATCAACAAAACATGATAATGGGCAAAAACCAATGAATGAATGAGTATCTATTAAAAATAAATTTAAAATAATTGATGCTATTGCCTGGCTGGTGCTCTCAGCGGTTGAGAGTTGACCCATGAACCAGAAGGTCACGGTTTGATTCCGGGTCAGGGCACATGTCCAGGTTGCAGGCCTGATCCCCAGTAGGGGCAGCCAATCAATGACTCACATCATTGAGGTTTCTCTCTCTCCCTTACTTTCTCTCTGAAATCAATAAAAACATATTAAAAAATAAAATAATTGATCCTATTAAATGTAATTCTGGGGAAATGAAAATAGAAAAAGTTAGAAGCAACTGACTGTACTGTTTAGAAAATTGATTAAGGTATTATATTGGTTTAACTTCATTCCAAAAATATGTATTTTTTGTGATCACTCATAAACACTGGTTTAATTCTGGTGAAAAATCTTTATATTCAAACAACCAGTAGGGTCATAATAATGGGATCACAATATCCTCTATATTAAAATAAGTGTGGGTCATTGAGAGCAGTAAATGCAAAATAACCAACTTTTTCCTATTCTTTTTTTCATTCTTGGTGAAGGATCTTGAAGCAGCCTATCACATTACAGACATCCACGAAGCTTTGGCCTTATCTGACGTGGGAAATGACAGGACGATGTTCTTGTTTGGGACCCAAGTGACTGAGAATGGCTCAGAGATACCCTCCACCATGCAAGACGCCAAAGACCTGATTGCACACCTGACTGCAGATATGCAGTGACCAGGCCCAGGCCCACTGTGCCACTCACAATCTAAATGTCACCAGGGAGTGTTGAGTGGCAGGCTTGACGCCAACAGTTTCCACTTTCAAATAAAAAATAAGCCATTTCCTATTTTCTCAATGCATGGCATATATACAAAGAGAATGTTAATTGATGAAGAGCATGTCTTTATTTAGATTTTGCACTTTGAAAGTATTGGTAACTGTATTTGGGGGAATTTGGAGTTCTGTTGTTTGTTTTAATCCTCACACGAGGAAATTTTTTCCATTGCTTTTCAGAGAGGGCAGAAGAGGGAGAGAGAGAGAGAGAGATAGGAACATCAATGTGAAAGAGACACATCGATTGGTTGCCTGGTGCATGGGATTGGGCCTGCAACCAAGGTTTGCTGGACTCGAACCCGGGACCCTTCAGTCCACAGGCTGATGCTCTAACCACTGAGCAACTGGCTAGGACAGAATTTGGAGTTTTAAGTTACAAAATTAAAGTGAACATTAGCAAGCGTTTATCCCATTTGTAGTTTTTCAACAACATGAAATTTTTATTCACGTTTTAACACTTCGTGCCACTCACAAGTTTTCTCATTTTTCACGTGCCATCTGTTATGGACCTTAGATGTCAACACACTGTCTTGTCCACATCGAATGAAGCGATCTCATTGGTGGAAACCGTGCAGGTCAATCTACGAAAAACTATATAATTGCATGAACCCATAAAGCATTGCAGTTACATTGTATTTTGGTCATTCAAATAGTCTTCGTCTTCAAGTTCCTGGCACTTTCAGAAATGCCTTCTCTCAGAAAAAGGAAGGAAACCAACGAAACTGATACACTTCGGGAAGTATTTAACGATAATTTATCAGATATTCCTAGTGAGATCGAAGATGCGGATGACTGTTTTGACGATTCCTATGAGAGCCTGCAGAGTTTGTGCCGCCCATGGAAAAAGGAGCCAATCTAGATACTTATGTAAATTTTGTTTGGTTCATAGAGGAAAATGTTTTAACGCAGTACCATACGTTAAAAAAGTACTAGGAACTTTAATTGTTTGTTTTTGTAAATAAAAATGTTATAATTATTGAAAAACAACACCTAAAGTGCATTATGATCTGTAGTTATGATGATTTAAATAACGTGCAGTTTGCCCAAAAACGTGTAGTCCCTGGCGTATGTCTTAGAGATTTCTATGCGGTACGCAATGTGTTAATAAATTTTTCTCTTTTCAAGTAAAAATCCAGGTGCCTCTCCTTTAAGTATATGTTTAACACTGTAGGGAAAGAAATATTGGGATAGCACAGTGAGAAAAAAGCAAGCAGCCCTGGCTGGTGTGGCTCAGTTGGCTGGGTGTTGTCCCATGCACCAAAAGGTTGCTGGTTCGATTCCTGGTCAGGGCACATACCTAGATTTCGAGTTTGATCCCCAGTCAGGGCGCACATGGGAGGCAACCAATCGATGTTCCTCTCTCATATTAATGTCTCTCTCTTCTTCCTCTCTAAAAATCAGTAAAAACATATCCTCTGGTGAGGACAAAAAAAAGTACAAGTATAACCGATATGCTAAGAAATGAGAGAAAATGGAGTCATGTAAACTGCTCAGTTAAAAGCACAAAAGGTGGAAAAGAGTGGAAGACAAAAACAGAAACCAAGAACGGCAAGAAGTAGAAGACAGCAACAGATACAGTAGCTATTAATCCACTTACATTAGTGATCACTAAGAACGCATCCCTCCAAAATAAAATACTTAGGTGTAAATAAGCCTAATAAAATATAGAGCTTTATGTGAGAAAATCTACAAAACTCTGATGAAAGATATCAAAGAACAACAAAATAAATACAAATGGAGAGATAGTCCATGTTTACAGATAGGAAGACTCAGTATTGTCAGCTTGATCTGCAGATTCAATGCAATCCCAATCAAAATCTCAGTAAGTTATTTTGTGGATATTGACAAATTAATTCTCAAGTTTATATGGAGAGGCAAAAGACCCAGAGTAGGCAATGCAGTATTGAAAGAGAAGAACAGAGTTGGAGGACTGACACTACCTGATTCAAGAGGTACGTGTCCCTTAAAGCTACAGTAATTAAGACAATGTAGTTTTGGCAAAAAATAGACAAATAGATCAGTGGAACAGATTAGAACACCCAGAAATAAACCTCCATAAATATAGGGAACTGATTTTTGACAAAGGAGCAAAGGCAATACAATGGAGCTAAGATAGTCTTTTCAACAAATGATGCTGGAACAACTGGACATCCACATGTAGCAACAATGTAAAAGAATCTAGACCCAGACCCTACTACCTTCACAAAAATACAAAAATTAACTCAAAATGGATCACAGATACAAAACCAAAGGCATGATCCGTGAAAGAAAGAATTAGTAAGCTGGACTTCGTTAAAAGCAAAACTTCCTGCTCTGCAAAAGACAATGTCAAGAGAATGAAAAAACAGGCCACAGACTGGGAAAAAAATATTTGCAAAAGAAACATAAAGTACTGTTACTCAAAATACACAAAGCACTCTGAATAATAAGAACACAACCCGGTTTAAAAATGGATCAAAAACCTTAACAGACATCTCACCAAAGAAGATACACAGATGGCAAATAAATGAAAAGATGCTTCACATCATATGTCATCAGGGAAATGCAAATTAAAACGAGATACCACCACATACCTATTAGAATGGCTAAAGTCCAGAACACTGATAACACCAGATGCTGACGATGTGGGAATGCAAAATGGTACTGTCACTTTGAAAGACAGTTTGGCAGTTTTTCACATAATTAAACATACTCTTACCCTGCAATGGAGCTATCTTGCTGCTTGGCATTTACCCACAGGAGCTGAAAACTTACATACATATCTTCACAAGGATGTTTATAGCATCTTTATTCATAACTACCCAAACCTGGAAGAAACCAAGGTGTCCTTCAATAGATAAATGGATAAATCCAGACAATGGAATATTATTCGATGCTAAAAAAGAAATGAGCTATCAAGTCATGAAAAGACATGGAGGAAACTTGAATGCATATTACTAAGTGAAAGAAGCCTATCTAAAAAGGCTACATACGACATGATTCCAACTACATGACATTTTAGAAAAGGCAAAAGTATGGAGACAATAAAAGACCAGTGGTTGCCAGGGGCTAGGTGGGTGAGGGAAGGATGCATAGGTGGAACACGCAGGACTTTTAGGACAGTGAAATACTCTGTTTTACACTATACTGGTGGGTACATGTCATTACACATTTGTCCAAACCCATGGAATGCACAACACCAAGTGTGAGCCCGAATGCTAACTACGAACTTTGGGTGATCATGACGTGTCATTGCAGGTTCACCGACTGTAATAAATGTACCACTCTGGTGGAGGATGTTGGTAATGAGGGAGGCTATGCGTGATCGGGGGTGCACGGCAAATCTCTGTAGATTCTGCTTAATTTTATTGTGAACCTAAAACTGCTCTTTAAAAGTCTATTTAAAAGATTAAGAAAACTATTCACTGAAAAATAAAAAAAGATTTGCAAAGAGGATTTGTCCTGCAAATTCTTCCCTTTAAAATTTGGAATCTGTAGCAAAATAACAAGCCAAATTTGGTGAAGACAGCCCCTCCCATTGTTAGCACTCAGCCTTCTCTATCACACTTTGGGTCTAAATGGAACATAATTGAACTTGGGCGTGCAGGTGCCAAATGACTCCTGATTGCCCCCTGAGAGACAAGCTTTCTCTCGGTCAGAGCCACAGGCTGATGGTTAACAGAATGACGTCACAACAGCCATTTGGGTATCCGATGTCAGACCTTCAGCCTGGCCCGTGGCGACCGGGTCACACAATGACTCAGGCTGGTCAGAGGCCCTGGACGGTCAGCCTCTGCCCCACGGATGGCAGGACCTGGGCGCTGGGTAAATTTCTTAACCATCTTGTGTCTTACTTGTCTTCACTCTGGAAAACGACTCAATCAAACGTCGACTATTCCCAGCCCTGAACTCTGGTTCCATGAGGTATCTTTTTATGATGTTTTCTAGGGTGGTCGGGGAATACGTAAGTTCCTAGGTGCCTCTTTCAAAGATGATGCCAAAGCGCTCGGATCGAAATGATCTCTCTGTTCTTCCTCGGTTGGCCTTGCTTTTCTCACATTTTGATTTTAGATTCTGCATTTTGGCAATAAACGTCATGGCTGGAGTTTTCCCTTCAGTGAGCTATCATCGAATGCCAGCGTGGTGGTCACTGCTGATGCTGGGATGATTAAAGCAAAGACTTGAGATGCTCCCAGGCTGTCGAGGGAGGTACATGTCCCAGGGGTTTCTAATGGAAAGTCAGGTGGGAGTGCTGTCAAAGAGGCTGTCCGGCTGGCGGTCTTCCCAACAGATCTCATGGGGGTGGCATTCATTACCGTGGAGAGCTTACCACAATCTGGCATCTGTTGCCAGCCTTCCCGGCTCAGAAACCATAGGTTTAGTTAGCACACTAAGAGTAGATCTGTCTTTTCACTTACTCATTTAGTTAACATTTATTGAGCACCAACTATGTGCCAGAAGATGTGTCAGAATGTTCTCTCAGTTAAAAATGATGGAAATTCAAGTTAGATTTTTGTATGTCAAGAAAAGGGAAGATTTGAGGGGCTCATTATACTGGGAAACTTGGGCATGGGTGGTTTCCGAGGTTCAAAGCTAACAAAGCAAAGCTTTCTCTCCATCTCTTGGCCCTGCTAACCTCTACTTGGCTTCAGTCTCAGATTCCCTGGGCAAGGGACTGCTGTCAGCACCAAGCCTACAACATTGGTACATAGCACATGATCCCAGAATAAGATGGACCCTCCCCTTCTAACGCAGCCATCCCGCAGATCTCATGGAGGGGCACTGATTCCGCTGCCAGGGTCTCATATTCGTCCATATAATCCCTGAGGTCTGGTCGTCTTGTCCGGACCAGCCCTGGGCAGATGTGAACGGGGGAGAGGTGGGCTCCAGGTGCAGGAAGGAGTGAAATGGGAAACTTCTTGACATGTTAGAGAGGAACAAGGGGGCTGGAATGCAGCCAGTAAGGGCAGAGCAGCCCCCAGCAGGGGAGAGGCAAGGCCTAGGTCTCGCAGAGGGCACCTTATGTTGCAAAGCTTGGGATTTATTCTAAGCCCTTTGGAGTGTCCTCACTGGAGGTCGGCCAAGTCAGAACACCAGCTGGGAAGGGACTGCAGAATCCAGAGAGGTCCCGGCGCTCTGGACTGTCAGTCTCAGCATCCCCTCGGAGCCTGTGAAGAGCCTGGGCCAGGAAACCTCCCGGAGACCTGGCTCGGCCGAGGGGCTCGGTAACGTTCTGCACCGGGGCCTCGACAGCCCAGAGCCACCGAAAGTCCTCGCGCTGGCACAAGGAGCAGCAGCCGGGCCGGAGCGCGCCGCGCCTCGGGCTTCTCTCCGCGGCCGGGGCGCGCTTGTGAGCCCGGAGCGCGTCACGTCGCCTCGGCAACCGGAGAACCCCGGGGCGGGGCACAGGGCCAGGCGCCGCCTCTGTGTCGGCTGCGGGGCTGGAAGGGGCGGGGCGGTCCCTCACCCGCCCAGTGGTGCGGGAGCCAGCGGGGACCCAGCTGGGGCGGCCGGAGCTCCCCGGGCCCCATGAAGAACCAGGAGTTTGCGGGTTCATCCGAGCTGTCCGACGGCCACGATACAGCAGAAATATCAGCGGGCTCGGACGCCCTCCCGAGGCGCCCGGCACACAAGGTGCCCGATGCGCCCGCGGAGCCCGAGGAAGCCAAGGAGCAGGGCGGGCGAGAGGCGCCCCAGAAACCCTATGAGCCGCACCTGCTCTCCGACCACTCCACGCCCTACAAGCCCTACAGGCCCTACAGGCCCTACAAGCCCTACAAGCCCTACAAGCCCTACGAGCCCTATGAGCCCTACGAGCCCTTTGAGCCCTACAAGCCCTACGAGCCCTTTGAGCCCCGCTCCCTGCTTGTTCCCTGGGAGCCGCATGAACCCTACGAACCCTATGAGTCCTTCGAGTCCTGCGTGCCCCGTGCGCCCCAGGAGCCCCGTGAACCCTACGAGCCCTACGAGCCCTACGAGCCCTACGAGCCCTACCAGTCCTACCAGTCCTGCGAGCTCCAGGAGCCCCAGAAGCCCCATGCTCCCCGTGAGCCCCGCAAGCTCCACCCGCCCTGTAAGACCCAGGGGACCCAAGTTCCCCATGAGCCCCGCAAGGCCCACAAAGCTGAGCTGCCTCACAGCACCGCCGTGATGATCACCCCAACTCAGATGACCGGATTGCAGCCACGGATTCCCTCGCCTTCCCTGAGCGGTAGGTGTTGGGACCTCACCTAAAACTGGGGGTCCCAGTGTGAAGGTTTTGCACGCTCGCTTTGTGTTAAAGGCGGATCACTCTTGTGCCACCCACCTGCTGCTTTGCAGTCACCTACTTTGGGGCCTGAAGGGAAACTGAGACCCTAGTAGTGAGAGTAACTGAGTCTCTTCACTCTCTCTGATGACCTAACTGTCCCTGATTATCCATTGTCACTTCCTTTTGAAGCCCTTGTTTTTAAAAATATGTTTTTATTGACTTCAGAGAGAAGAAGGAAAAGAGAGAGAGAGAGAGAGAAACATCAATGATGAGAGAGAGTCATCCATCCCCGGCCTCCCACTCGCCCCCCACTGGGGATGAGCCTGCGACCTTGGCATGTGCCCTGCCCAGGAAGCCCACCGTGACCTCCAGGTTTATGGGTCGAAACTCAACCACTGAGCCGCACGGGGCTGGGCTTGGAGCCCTTCTTAATTCTTCTCTGCAGTTAGTTATTGCCTTCCTCTGGGTTGCCACTTTGAACATTACCTCTGTGACAGCACTTACGATTTTGTATTTCATCATTATCTTTCTCCCCAGCTAAAGAGGGATTGTTGAAGGGAGAATATTGTCAGTGTTTGGCACATGGTGATACTCAAGAAATGCTATTATATTGTTAAAGTTGTAGTAACAAAATACTCACTGAGCAAGTATTCAAAGGGCACATTTAGCAAGTCCTCACCAAGTTCACAGGGTAGCAGGGCTGGTGGGACCTGGGTATGAACATCCTTTGCTCTGATCACACAGGCTCACTTCTGACCTCTCATGGATGACCCCGCCCAAAACAGTTCTCTGTCCACACGGGACTTCCAGGCCCTTGGTTGGCCATTTTAAAAACCTCATATTCTCCTTGACTCCTCTTTATCAGCCATGATTCTACGGTCTATCATTCCAGTAGCATGCTCAGTCTACCACCCCACTGGCTCTTTGGCTAACCACTATACTCCCATCAGAACCCCAACCCTGGTTAAACCCAACCATGCACCGTCTGCCTGCACCTGAGCAGGCGACTACTGCTGTGCAAAACCCACAGTCACACCGCGCACTTCTATCTCAGTTTCAGGACCACGAGCCTCAAGTGGCCACTTGGCACTGCCCAGCAAGCCCTTTGTTCACCTCCTCCAACCGTCACACCTTTGACCCCCAAATAGCTGACAATTTTGCCTCATACTTGATTGAGAAAATAGAAGCAGTCAGTCACAAACTCCCTAATTTTCTCACCACCCATCCATTGCCTTATCTGAATCAGCACCCATGGCTTCTGCAGGGAAGAATGATGCCTCTTTCTATGAAAAGCGAGGTGCTCCACTTACGCTTTTCACCCATCTCCTGAAGAACTGTGTTCCTGCAGTTCTTCTCTCTCCTGTGGCGTCATCTCTCCCTTTTTAGTCAACCCGTCCCCATGTCTTCTTCAGACCCCTCCTCTCCCACTATTTGTCTGTTCTCCTTCACTGCAGAAGTTGTCACAAGAGTTGTCTATAATCACTGGCTGCATTTTCCCATCTATCATCCTCTCAACCCACCTAGTTAGGCTTCTTACCCGTCCACGCCACTGAATTGTTCTAGTGGACTGCCTTTCTCTCCAACACCAACCCTGTCATCACGTATGGAGATTTCCCCACCCATAGGGATGATCCACTTGGCTTCTCAGTTCCTTGGCCTCCTCACTGTGAATGATCTTGTCCTTCACTCCATCGTGGGCACCCCCGGCCCTAGTCTTTGATAATGTTAATTGTACCATTTCTAAAATCTTTATTTTAAACACTCTATCCATGTCCTATATTTCCACCTCAGTCTTTCCTGTACCCCCTCTATCAGTTCTTCAGCCTCAAAGGACCTCTAACTCACTGAGGCTATTAACCTTTCATTATATATCACCACCTTCTGTCCTTCTGTCTCTCCTCACTCACTTTATAGTCCATGGTCCACCAATGGAATTACTCCTTTGCAAACATCCTTAACTCCCTTGCCTCTCCCTCTATTTTTCTTGCCAATTCTTGTCTGCACTTGAAAAAACAGATGATGACAACAGAAAAACAAACATCTATTCTGGCTGATCTTTAAACTCATGATCTGGAACTTGAAGTGGGCGCTCAGTGCTCTCAGTGCTGCTTTGCAAACATACTGCATGTCCCTAGTCAACACATTTTCCAACACAGAAGCTACCAAACTACCAGCATCTATCTATGTACTCTACCTTTTCTCCTGTTAATAATGGATGGACTGTCTTTATTCCTATTAAAGGGCAATCTCCCAACCTATATGCTGGATCTCATCCCATCCAACTTTAAGCTGTTTTCTTCTAAAACCAGCCCTCTCTCTCCTGCATTATTTTCTTCTTCTCTTTACTGGATCTTTCCCATCAGCACATGAACATGCAGCAATAACTCCTATTTTAAAACAAACAAACAAACAGACAGACAGAAACTCTTACCTTAACCCCATGCACCCCTCCAAGTCCCACTTCTGTTTATCTGTTCCTCTTTAGAGACAAATTCCTCAAAGTAGTTGTCCATAAGTCATTATCGCCATATCCTCTCTTCCCATTCTCTTGAGAACACCCTGAAGCTTTCATCTCTACTTAGCCAAGTTGCTCCTGTTAAGGTCATAATGACCTCTGCCTTGCCAAGTTCAAAGGTTAATTCTTCATCTTTATCTAATTCACTTGACACACATCCCCTCTTTCTTGGAAGTCTTTCTTTAGTTGACTCCTGCTTTCAGTGTCATCCAACCTCATTTACTGTTCCTAGCTCTGTTTCCTTTGCTGGATCCCACTTCTGTTCCCAACCTCTAGGCTGAAGTGAGTGATGGGTCCATTTTCTTAGATTCTTTAGAACTTTCCTCGTTCCCTGAGTGATGTTATCAGTTCCTTGGCTTTAATTTTATGCGGTTGAGTTCCCAAATTATCTCTAGATTCAACTTCTTCCTTAAGCTCCAGAGTTTTATAACCAATTGTTTAACATACCTAATTGAATATCTAGTAGGCATGTAAAATTTAATGTGGCCATATATGAACTCTTATTTCCACACCCAAACTTGTCCTTCCCCTATTGTTCCCCATTTCAGCAATGTCACCCCCATTCATTCATCCAGGTGCTCAGGTCAAAGTCATTCATTTTTTTTTTTTNCTCTACCTTTTCTCCTGTTAATAATGGATGGACTGTCTTTATTCCTATTAAAGGGCAATCTCCCAACCTATATGCTGGATCTCATCCCATCCAACTTTAAGCTGTTTTCTTCTAAAACCAGCCCTCTCTCTCCTGCATTATTTTCTTCTTCTCTTTACTGGATCTTTCCCATCAGCACATGAACATGCAGCAATAACTCCTATTTTAAAACAAACAAACAAACAGACAGACAGAAACTCTTACCTTAACCCCATGCACCCCTCCAAGTCCCACTTCTGTTTATCTGTTCCTCTTTAGAGACAAATTCCTCAAAGTAGTTGTCCATAAGTCATTATCGCCATATCCTCTCTTCCCATTCTCTTGAGAACACCCTGAAGCTTTCATCTCTACTTAGCCAAGTTGCTCCTGTTAAGGTCATAATGACCTCTGCCTTGCCAAGTTCAAAGGTTAATTCTTCATCTTTATCTAATTCACTTGACACACATCCCCTCTTTCTTGGAAGTCTTTCTTTAGTTGACTCCTGCTTTCAGTGTCATCCAACCTCATTTACTGTTCCTAGCTCTGTTTCCTTTGCTGGATCCCACTTCTGTTCCCAACCTCTAGGCTGAAGTGAGTGATGGGTCCATTTTCTTAGATTCTTTAGAACTTTCCTCGTTCCCTGAGTGATGTTATCAGTTCCTTGGCTTTAATTTTATGCGGTTGAGTTCCCAAATTATCTCTAGATTCAACTTCTTCCTTAAGCTCCAGAGTTTTATAACCAATTGTTTAACATACCTAATTGAATATCTAGTAGGCATGTAAAATTTAATGTGGCCATATATGAACTCTTATTTCCACACCCAAACTTGTCCTTCCCCTATTGTTCCCCATTTCAGCAATGTCACCCCCATTCATTCATCCAGGTGCTCAGGTCAAAGTCATTCATTTTTTTTTTTTTAATGTCTTTCTTGATTTCAGAGAGAGGAAAGGAGAGGGAGAGAGAGAGATAGAAACATCAATGATGAGACAGTCATTGATCGGCTGGGGCCCGCAACCCGGGAATGTGCCCTGACTGGGAATTGAACCCCAATCGCTTGGATCCTAGGTCGATCCTCAACCGCTGAGCCACGCCTGGCCGGGCTTGAAGTCATTCTTGACACCTGTTTTACTCTTACACCCTGCCTTCAAATCATTAGCAAACCTTAATTTTGAAATATATCATGACTATGGCCATGTCTTAACATCTTAAACCTTTATCATCTTTTTTGGCCACTATCTTTTGCTTGGTCCACTGCAATAGCTTCTACTCTTGCCCCATTCTCCCTCCACCTTCCCACCCTAGTTTATTGTTTGTATAGTGGTCACAAGAATCCCTTAGAACATAAACTATATGCAACTCTCTTGCTCTCAACTCTCCAGAGTTTATACTCTAAAGTTCTTAGCAGGCCCCACATGATCTGGCCTCTGCCTGCCTTCCCAACCTCATTTCCCATAGCTCTTCCCACCATCATTGCTCTTCAGCTGTGTGGGCCTTCTTGCTTCCCCCTCATGATGATTTTACTTGATTTTCCTCTGCCAGGAAGGACACTCTTCCCTGAAATGTTTGTCACCTCCTTACAAAGGTATACCAGATCACTCTGCTCATTTTCTTTAAAGCACTTATCTAACTATTTGTCTCTATTTATACCTTTATTTGTTTACTATTTACATCAAGCTCTCAGAGGGTAGAACTTTTGTCTTTCCCACTGTTTCATTCTCAGTGCCTCAAGTGGTACCTGGAACAGTCAAGACTTAGCAATTGTTGAATGAAAGATCTCTTCATTCAGCCTGTGTTTCCAAATCCCATGGTTCCTCCTC